CTTCCCCCTCCTCCTCCCCTCCAGGCAGGGCTGGGGGTTTCCCGTCCTGTTTGCAAACAGCTCTTGCAGGCTGGAGCTCAGCCAGCCTGCAGAGCTCTTTGCAAAAGCAGGGAATCCATGGGTTTCTCTGCTAAAGGACAAATCAGTGTTTTCTCTGATAAGGGGAAATCTGTGGTTTTCTGTTTTTTTGTGGGGAAATGGAAAACCCGGATGGATCCCTGCGAGCCATGTGATCCATTCAATGCATCTAAATACAGAGTTTCCTCTTTATTTCAGAATTTTATTATCTAGTTAAAATCAATTTGCTTTTCCATTTTATAATGCAAAACCCCTCTTGATGAAAATATTGCATTTGTTGCAAATATGTTGAAAATGATCATTTACCAGGAAATTCTTGCTTCATTTCTTTTCTTTAATTAAATCTTCTCCTGTGGTACATCACATACTCATTCTTTCTTCTTGTGTGTCAAAGTGGAAGCAAAATTTCTATCCTATTACACAGACTTGATATCTTGAGAGAGAAAATTCTTTGATGTGCACAATTTAAACATATAATGCATTTAAATTTTGAAATAATCATATATTATAAATGGAATCCCAAAATTTCTTTTGTGTTCAGTCTGTCTTCTGATGTGCATAGACTACTTAGACCAGCACTGGCAGAAGGCCTTCCCTGAAATATGCTATCCCTAATTAGTTGAGGCCCATGCATTATTCTGAATAACTATTTATTTTGTTTGTTCAGCAATTGAATTTATTCCAGATATTCATTAAGTTTTTCATATCATTAAATGAGAAAAAATTTCTGGTAGCTTTTGTGATATTGAGGACTAAGCTGTTGTTAAATCTATTCTTTATTTTTACTTTTGTCTCTTGGTTTTTTATTGTAGTATGTGAACTTCCTTTTTATGAAATATGTGACAAAAATGTATCAAGAATCCAGTGTTCAGCGTTAGGATGTTGCTTTCATAAAGAAGTTTGCTATAAGAAAGCTGTGCCATGTAAGTATTTAGAATAGCAATATGACATACTCAGATCTTGGACCTTGATTATAACTCTGAAGTGGACTTAACTCTTTGACATCTTTGACTCTCAACTTCCTATCCCTCCCTACTCTGGCAGTAGGATTTGGGATTCATTTGGGAGTTGGCCTGAGGCACACTAAACTCAACAAGAGCTTTTCCTTTGACTTTGTTGGTCATGCCTATTTCCCCCTCAGTTGGTTTCCACCAAACCATGTGGACAGCACTGCAGTGAGACCTCTCTTTAAACATATCAATAATATACTAGGAAACTTTTTGAGAGAGTGATGCTGTGAAATCCCAGATTATCTTTAATATACTATCTGGCAGAAATTATACATGTTTTTATAATCTTTGAGAAATCTGCTAATTTGGAGGTGTACTAAGACTTATAGCTGTAACTATTTTGGTCCTATTCAGCAGTAATCAGTGCCCTGTGGGGCCAGAAAGGGTTGTCTTTAGAATCCTGCAGGATAGTGGAGAGACTGGGATCTGTTTTATTTCATAGATTTAAAAATAAACAAAAATGTCAAATATGAACTGGTGTCTGTCTTGTGATGTTTTTTAAATGAAATATTTTGACCTTTTCAAGACTAGACTGATAAACAGGTGATAGTGGTGATGATCGTGGCATTTACCTTGTATGTGGGAGAGGTTTCAGTCCCTCTATTCCTGATTCAGAGTACTGATTTGGAGCAGGACTGGAACCCTTATGTCCTCTCAGAGTGGGAACCCTCACCAGCAAGCTAGAGTAATTTTTTTCTTGTCCAATGATTATTTAATTTACACAAAGTAGAAGCTTTGAGAGGAGACAGTGAGACACCCTACCCCACAACATCAATTTAATCCAGTGTTTAGGGCAGTGTTCTAGGAGGTGAGAGAGGTCTTGACTCAGATCCTGGTTTTGAATCAAGTAAAAAGAGATTTGAACCTGGATTTCCCACATCTCAGGCTGCAACAGCTGAAAGCTACTGCAATTAGAAAGATTAGTGCATACCGTTAGCTGGGTGCTCTCTACACCGTTTTTGTTCTTATTTTGCAGCCACCATAAATACTTCTTTAAAAAGAAGAAAAATAACCTGAGAGAGCTGTAGTCAACACAGCACAATTTATTTTTTTTTCAGCTTACATGCAGGTATTCATCATCTTGATACTGGTTATCATGGCAGCCTTCATTTTATTTGTATGCTACAGGTAAGTGCTCTTATGATACAAAAAGCAATTTAATTATGTTGACTTGGACAATGAAATGAAATTAAATGAATATGGCCCATCACTTGATCTGATTTTTTTTTTCACAGGTGCTGAGGCATTTGTTCTACAGGCATGGCTGTGTGAGCTGCCCAGGGAATGCGCAGTAAACACCTGCTGTGCGTTAAACAATTATCTATATCGTGTGAGCTACAACAACGCTTTTTTTTTTTTAACACCATAATCTGCTATGTATGCCTCATGGTGATTCTTTGACTAGGTCCCCTCACTCATGGAGAACAGGGTGACAGAGGTTGATTACAACTCTGTACCACTGAAGGGAGGGATTGAGGAAAATGATAGATACTTCATCATGTCTAGAGGGTCTGTGGCATTAAGGAAAACTGGGTTTGAGCCCTCCTTCTGTACTTCACATAAAAGCCTTGAATAAGTGAACAAGGATCTTAAAATAAACAGTGATCCAGATAACAATCTTAGTAAGCAGAAAAACTGAAAACTTGAGCCTTTAGAAATATTGTAGGCATAAAGAAACATACTATTCTAAAAACTATTCTGACTCCCCTGAACACTTGCAGGCCATACAGAATTGATCCAATTGGTTTTCATACACTATAATAGTTACTTAAATGAGGTGTCATCCCCATAAATGTGGCAGGTGCTAAAGTAGTTCAGTTAGTAGCAGATAGGTATTGACTCAAATTCTCTTGGTGTTGTCCCACCATGTGCCAGTAACTTTTTCAGATGTCTCAGGATCCACTGTTTCTAGAAGATATGGCACAGATTGTGGGAAATAATTTTAAAGGACACTGCAGCTGAAGGAGTTTGTAGGATGCTGGCAAGATTAATGCTGTCTCTAGTTGAGGTGCACATCTGATGGTTATAATTGAACTACTGCTCATCCCTTGATTTTTATTAGTTTTCATTCTGCACCCAAGATAGCTGAGAGTATTCCTCTCAGGAGAGATGAAGGTAGTGGTGTTTGGAAATACAGGTTCTCAAGGAGAAAAGCTTCTATAGGACTAGGTAAAGAAAAGGTTTAAGAGTGCGTTACTATAGTATTTTAATGATCTGTCTTGTGAGAATTGTTGCTTTGTTACAAGTATGTAATTTTTTGGAGTTGGACAAAACAACTACCTGCTCATCAGCCTGTAGGACTACAGACAGAAGTTGCTCATAAAGCAGGTTTAGTGATCAGAAACCGGTTTAAACCTGTAACAGAACAGAAGTTCAGTACACTGTAACGAAACAGAAGTTCATAAACCACTTTCAAAATGGCCAAAACTGTCCAAGGTGAACCTGAATGAGTGTAGTATCATAGAAAAATTGATATCAGTCTTAACTGATTTAGGTCAAACTGGAAGATATCAGACTTAACTGATTTAGGTCAAACTGGTTTATGGAACTTCTGTTCCAGATCCCCTCCCAAGTCAAGTTAATTCACAGTCCCCCAGCATCCCTAGATGCTTTGCAACCTTGGGCTGTGTTGTCTGCTCCAGCAGAGCAGGGCTGGCTCTCCCCCAGCTGTCACAGAGCAGAGGAAGTAAAGCCTTTGCTTTCCAGTCTGCTTCTTGCCTGTCAGCCCGGCAAGATGGGTGGCAGAGGAATGGACCCCCAGAGCCACCTAACCCCAATCAGTAAAGTAAGGGAAGGAAAAACCCTGGTGGAGGGGGCTTTTTGCTTCCCCCTCTGCAGCCCAGCAAGCTAGGCTGGAATCGGCTAAGTCCCACCCTTTCCCTAGCCATCTGTCTCCAAGAGGGGGAGGATGCACCCTTCAGCTTGGCGGGGCTGGGGAGGGGAGAGGCAGGGGAATCTCAGCCCAGTTCCAAGCTGTGGGGGGACTTTCCCCCTGCACTAGGCAGACCCTCAGCTGGGAATCCAACACCAAACTGCGGGGTGCATTCCCACTTCCGCCCCACCTCATAGGATCCATTCAGGTTCACCAGTTGAGGCTTTCCCACCTTCACCAGGCAGACTCCAGCTGGGGGGACTGGTGCTGGTTGCTGGGTGGGGGGGTTGTTCCCACCCCCTGCTTCTGAGGCGGAGGCTGGGGAAGGGGCAGGGCTGGGACAGTCCCAGCCCAGCTCTGGGCTTGTGGAGGGAGGGGGGCAAAAGCCACCCCCCAGTGGGGGCTTTCCCCATGCTATGCAAACCCTGGCTGGGGTGACCAGTGCTAGCCTGGGGGTGCCTCTCCCCCACAAAGGTGGGGGCTGGTAAGAGTTTGGCTGCTGGGGACACCCCCTCTCCCCCCAGATTACCAGCCGCGGCAGATTGAAACCGCAAACCACC